TTATTTTTATTTTTTAATGTTTATTTATTTTTGACAGAGAGAGAGAGAGAGACAGAGCATGAGCGGGGGAGGGGCAGAGAGAGAGGGAGACACAGAATCCGTAGCAGGCTCCAGGCTCTGAACTGTCAGCCCAGAGCCCAACGCGGGGCTCAAACTCACAGACCACGAGATCATGACCTGAGCCGAAGTCGGACACACCCCAAGGTGCATTCATTCATTTAACAAACATTTCTTATTTACTTAATTTGTACCAGGTACCTCATTAGCCATTAGGCAATACGAAGCTGATACCTGTCTTTCAAAGGTTTTGGTTTAGTGAGAGAAACAAAGAACAAATAAAACACTTTCACAGAGTTAAGAGCAGGTGGGATAGGATTACAAAAGTCTGCGCAAAAATTTGCCTACAGGAATCAGGGAAGGCTTTACCAAAGAAGGAACAATTAGTGGTATGCATTTGAAAGATGGCTAGTTATGGATAAGGGTGTAGTCTATGACCCAGGATTAGAAGAAAGCTCACAGGCTAGGGCAGTGTGATTAACTATTGGTCATGGAGTAGGACAGCAGAAAAAAGCCCTTGGCAGGTCACTCGAGCGATCTGGGATGATTAAAACACAAGTGGATATTTAGATCAACGTGCCATTCATTCATATAATAATTTTTTGAGTGTCCACTATATATTAAAATTTATCCAAAGAGCTGGTTATATAACAATAAAAAAAACTACCAAATATCTGAATTTATGGGCCCTACATTTCAGTGCAGGATTCAGACATAAAACAAGTATATAATGTTAGAGGTAAGAGCTACGATGAAAAATAAAGCAGGGTAAGAAGTAGACAGTGCTGGGGCTACCATTTGAGATATGAGAGTCAGTAAAAGTCTGACTGAGGAAGAAAAATTTGAGCAGAGGCCTGAATGAAACAATCTAGATATTACTTGGATCAGTTGTTCAACTTCACAGACAGGAAAACACATTTTCAGACATTGCTGACTTTACCAAACTGTCCCTTCACTAAAGTGATGATTAACTCACCCTTTCCATTTATTTTATCTTGATTTTTTGACCATGTGTAATTGGTCCCTTGATTAGGCAGGTTAGAATTTAGACTACATATAATTTCTCTACTGATCATTAACTAATCCTGGGTTTAGTTATTAACCAAAGGTCTGCTCCTTCTCTGGTTCATGTGACCTTGTTTTCATTTCTCCCTGAGTCTCAGCTAGATTTTATCTCCCCATAATGTTAAATAGTATCTCAAATATGATGGCTCACCCAAGCAGCTAAAAGCAGAATGTAGTGAAAGCCTAATTCCCCTTCTTCTATTACCAGGGTTAGGATTGAGTGCTGAGACAGCAAAGAAAAATTAAATCCACTATCTTCAGCCAGAATATGACAAAGGATCATGTTTATGTTTAGGAAAGGAATACACTCACAGGAGTGGAGAAGAAAAACAGTGATAAAATCTCAAGAAACATGCCAAGATAGAAATCCCATTAGGCTATGAAATAATCTCAGTGGAGAACTGGAGAGTGGGGGGCGCCTGGGTAGTTCAGTTGGTTAAGCATCTGACTACGGCTCAGATGATGCTCTCACGGTTCATGAGTTCGAGCCCTGCACTGGGCTCTGTGCTGAGAGCTCAGAACCGGGAGCCTGCTTTGGATTCTGGGTCTCCCTCTCTCTCTGCCCCACCCGTTTGCACTCTGTCCCTCTGTGTCTGTCAAAAATGAATAAACGTTAAAAAAAAAGAAAAAAAGAAAAAAAAGAATTTGCCTGGAGAATCTGGTTTTCTTCACTTTTGTTTCTCATACCTGAGAGATGTGACTAAAATACTGCAAAGCTGTCTCCACAGGGCTTTTGAAGTATATCTTCTCCTGAGGTTTCAGCTATAAAGACAGTAAGACAAATATTGAACATATCCACAACAGAATGAAATAAAATACCAGCAAATATGGCAAAGGATGTACCACGACTTCCTAAAGCACGAGTTATTATTTCACTATCCTAAATATGAGGATGCTCACCACTGCCCTAGGAGATGTAGACTATATGTTTTAATCCTCCTTACCTCGTGCTTCGATAGCAACAGCCACAAACAATTCTTCTGTTGTTTGCCCTTTTTAAAAAATATATAACAATTGCTATCTGCAAGTTTTTCTTTTCTTTTCTTTTCTTCCTTTCCCTTTCTTTTTCTTTCTTTCTTTCTTTCTTTCTTTCTTTCTTTCTTTCTTTCTTTCTTTCTTTCTTAAAAATTTCAGTGCTTAGTCACTCATCAACTGTACTCTTTGTATACTTCCTATAGGCCAGGAATGGGATAAAATGGTTTGTGGTTGGAGAAGAAAAACTTACATTATCAGAAAGAGCCAGATGCTTGCAGGCAGTTCCACAAACAGCACATTTTTCTGAGGGGGGAAGGGAAAAAAATGTTCAGTTTTTACGGTCAAGAGGTATGTTCTTCCTAAAATACATGGTAATAGCCAAGTAGGCTAGCAAGAAACAGGCTCCTACTAAACTTAGAGTATCTTTGTGCTACAAAAGGACACCTTGAGCTCTGTTCTCAAAATCAATATTTGCAAACTTGTATGTTTTTGACAAATAAGGCTTTCACACTGTACCTCTACCCATTTCCTCTTTATACATTCCCAATTTTCTTCTGCAGATGAAGGGCAGTTCTAACCCCCCAGCAAGTAGTACTAGGAAGAACACAAGAGTACTAATGGTTTCGGGTGTAAGTTGCTCTTTTTCCCCCCACCTACCTGACAGTGGGCACACTGTAGATACTATAAGAAACCGAATTATTCCTGCCCTGTTCTCACTTTGCTAATTTGCTTGGAACTTGCTTTGAAGCTCTCCTGCTCTCATTCTCTAATTAATCGAATCTGAAAGAATAAAAATTAAAATTCTTAATCTTTAAGTTGAAATTTTAGTGGTGTTGGTTATTGTTAAGATAAATGCCATGTCAAGAGAAAATATCACATGGCAAATGCTTTACCGAGACAAACCTCTTCAAGGTGAGCTGCTGTTACCATAAAATGGTTTTGTTACATTAGCAGATAACTTAAAAGGGTCATGAGATCCAACAAGAGAAAAACATCTTCAGAGGCTAGTAACCTCACTCTTCTTTCCTTGAGGACTAAAGGTTTTTCCCAGCCTTCCCTCCATATTATTGCCAGAGTGAGCTAGCAAGTAGGAATCATTCTTCTGTTTAAGAAAAACACAAAACAAAGAAATTTCCCCAGCTCTCCATCACCTGCAGGATAAAGTTCAAGCTCTTCAGTTTTGTACGTAATACCCTCCCATCACCTGGCCATTGCCTACCTCTCCAGCCTCATCTCTTAACCACTTTTTTCTTTATTCTCTATGCTCTACCAATCCCCTGCAGTATGGTTTTATAGTGTGGTATGTATGCCCTTACACACGATGTTCTCTTAAACTATAATGATCTTCCCTGCTTTATCTGCTTGGCAACTCCAGTTTATTATTCAAAACTCTACTGAAGCAACAGCTCTTCTATGAAATCTTCCCTAATCAAGCATTTTGGCATTAAAAAAAAAACCCTCAAATTCAGGTCTAATTTCTAGACTTAATCACTGCAGGAACTTGGTCAAATCACTTATCCTATCTGAACCAGTTCCTTATTTGTAAAATGGGTCTACTAATAATTACCTCTTGGAATTGTGGTAAGGATATATAAAATTTGTACATGTGGAAAATATTTTTTAAACTGCAAATGTACCACTATCACCACTATTATCATCTTCATCATCATCATCATTTCTAATCAAATTGATTTCACAGGCTAGACCATTTCCCATTAGAATTACTCTTGTTATCAACCAAACTTTCCCCAATTCCTATTCATTACTGTTATTTTTTTTTTTTCTCTTTTCTCTAATTAGTCTGATAACCTTGGCTTTCCCTGCCACTTGTCAAAACACTGGCAAGTACCTTTTGGTGTTCAAGTAATAGATATTCCATTTGCTAAATCATTCTTTATCAATGGGTGCCTAAAATTTCCATAATCAAGAGTTTCCTACTGTATCTATACAACCTTTGGCCCAATATGTGATTTTTATCCCAAGTCACACAGAGAAATGGCTAATAATTATTACTAGGTTAAAAATATTTTTTGCCTGAATTTGAAAACAGTTAAGTCACTCACCCAGAGTCACACACTTTTTACAAAAAATATGGCCACAGCTGGTGACAAAGAAATTGTCTCCATCTTTTCGAAAACACCAGTTACAGTGAAACCAATCCATTCTGGAACAGATAAAGAGAAAGATTAAAAATAACCTGGAGCATTATATAATTATAGCTGTTCCAAAATCTATGTAACAATGTTTGCTTAGCTTCTGTTATCTTTTGGAGATGTAGGCACTATTACTGTGGGTATTCCTGTTGGTTATAAGGAAGTACATATATCACTGAAGTGAAAAAAGCAGACTACAAACTCTGCTATACAGTTTTAAAAAAGAAAAAATATATATATTTAGAAAAAGCATATACATATGTATTTAGAAAACTAATGGGACAATGAGATTTTTTTTTTTTGAATGGTGAGATCATGGGTATTTGTGTGTGTGTCGCCTTTACACTTTTTCCCCCCAAATTTCCTAGATTAATTCATGTACCAATTTGTAATCAGAAAAAAAAATCTTAAAAAAAAAAAAAAGAACGGTCTGTCAGGGCACCTCTTGTGGCACAGTCAGTTAAGCATCCGACTCTTGATCTTGGCTAAGGTCATGATCTTACAGTTTGTGAGTTTTAGCCCCACATCAGGCTCTGTGCTGATGGTGAGGAACCTGCCTGGGATTCTATCTCTTTCTGCCTCCCCACCCCCTGCTTGTACTCTCTCTCTCTCTCTCAAAATAAATTAAAAAAAAAAAAAAGAAATATTTCTTTCCTAATAATTCCCTGTGACACAGTAAGATGGAACAAGGAGGAAGTACTGGACCAAATAATAGAAGATCTCATATGAGCCACTTGGGACATATTTTATATAAGGGAAACATGGTTTGTGAATGATAATGTTGTCTCAGCTTATACACTTTCCCTTCTACTCTAAGACACTCAGAATCATAGATCTGGGATGGACTTCAAAAATCATTTCACATTTTATCCAATACCATAATTTTTCAAAAGATATACCTGATGTTCACTGAAATTTAATGACTTGTCCAAAGTTCCATCTTTAGTTAATGTCAACTCTAGGATTAGAACCTGAGTCTTCTTACTCCCTGTGTCAAGTTCTTGCTACCACATCAAGTACACCTTGGTGTTAGACATGGCACCCATACATCCTATATTTTCTGCCAATACTAATTCCATATAATTGGTGAAATACATAATTACATTAATGTGACTTTGTAAGATTTTAAATGAAGAAATTGACATATTAAAAATACATAATTGAGCTGATACACGCTGAGCTGCAATTAGTTCATACGTATAATGAATTCACATGTTTAATTCCAAGAATATGTTATTTAAGAATATAACATTAGTTTGATTTCCTTTAAAATTACATTAGGAAAATAAAACAGAAGGTAACTTTTTTTCCCCACCTAAGTATTTTCTTTAAAAAAGTTTTAAAAAAAAAAATTTTTTTTCAACGTTTATTTATTTTTTGGGACAGAGGGAGACAGAGCATGAATGGGGGAGGGGCAGAGAGAGAGGGAGACACAGAATCAGAAACAGGGTCCAGGCTCTGAGCCATCAGCCCAGAGCCTGACGCGGGGTTCGAACTCACGGACCGCGAGATCGTGACCTGGCTGAAGTCGGACGCTTAACCGACTGCGCCACCCAGGCGCCCCTAAAAAAGTTTTTAAGTAGTTTATGGAAAGGTTTGCTACAAGAATGATGGCTCGTTTGCACCACCCTTTAACATTTTTTTTTAATTTTTTTTTTTCAACGTTTATTTATTTTTGGGACAGAGAGACAGAGCATGAACGGGGGAGGGGCAGAGAGAGAGGGAGACACAGAATCGGAAACAGGCTCCAGGCTCTGAGCCATCAGCCCAGAGCCTGACGCGGGGCTCGAACTCACGGACCGCGAGATCGTGACCTGGCTGAAATCGGACGCTTAACCGACTGCGCCACCCAGGCGCCCCGCACTCTTTAACATTTTTAACAAGATTCACGATAAAATCTTGCTGAATAATCGGTTCAGTGCAAGGGCATTATACAGAGCCATGCACTTTAGGTTTCCATTTATTGCTCACAATACACTAACTTCTATCAGGAGGGGAGTCTGAAGTATTGCTGAAAAGGCCCCACTATCTATATCCGGCTTTGTACAAGGGCAGCAACAACAATGTTAATCAAATAGGTTGGCCCTTATAAGAAGGGCAGTTAATTGTTTGTGAGGACAACGCTTGCCGGTTTTCAAGGGGGTAGGGGGATTTAGCAGTCTCAAGACCAGTAGTTCTTTTCTAACTACATTCCCTACCCACTTGGCCGCCATGATCTTATAAGCCCTGGTATCTCACCTAAATCATCCAGTTCTCCTCACGAAGAGCTGGAAAGGGCGGGAAAATACACAGCAAGCCTGGCACCTGCGAGAGGCAAGAGGCTGGGCGTGGCCCGCGGCAGCGTGCGCGAGCCCTGGGCGGGGCCCCGGGCGGTGTGCTAAGTGAGTGGGCGTGGCCTGGTGCGGGCGCGAGGCGTGGGCAGAGGTCCCGACTGCGTACTGGGCGCAAAAGTTGGGCTCTTGGTAGCCGGCAAGAGGCAAGAGCGCTTGCCTCTTCTTAGTAGCCGAGGAAATTTTTCTTCGTTTGAGAATGGGAACAAGAAGAATATGGCCTAATCCCATTCAGGTTACTGTGGAAACGGGGTAAGAATAAACTTAATAATGTTCCTATAGATAATAACACACTAGAAAAAATTTGGTCACAAAGCAGATGAAAGCTTCAACCAGTATTTTTTAATGAAAGAAAATAATGGGTGTTTGAAAGAATAGTATAAATCCGAAATAGAAAAGTTACAAAGTGATATGGATAGAGAACAGACATTAAATAAGAACTAACAATGGGCGCCTGGGCGGCTCACTCGGGTTGGCTATGGTTCATGAGTTCGAGCCCCGCGCAGTGCTCTGTGCTGACAGCTCGGAGCCTGGAACCTGCTTCAGATTCTGTGTCTCCCTCTTCTTTCTGACCCACTCCCAGTCACACTCTGCCTCTCTCTTTCTCTCTCTGAAAAATAAACATTAAAAACATTTTTAAGTAAGAAGTAACATATCAGGAAAAAAAATTATAACTTTTTTTCTGAAATAAAAAAATGAGGAAAAAAGCACAAGTAAGGGCTGAAAGGAGAATAGTTTTTCTTTTAAAAAATACAAGGTTTTAAGAGAAAGTGATGGATATAGAAAACAAGCAAAAGAGATTTTACACACAAACTCATGTACATTTATTCCCCCCCAAAAAACCAGAGTGCAATGTATCAGAACAAATGTTTAAAACAAAACTTGGAACAAGTTTTCCTGAAATAAAATAAGACTTAATTCTACATACATACTGTGTATAGGAGAAAACTGACACAGAACAGTCAAAACCAAAACATTTTCTAATAAAACGATTGGCCTTAAAAGTAAGGAAAACCCCTTTGAACATCCAGACAAAACAGTACAAGTCACTTATAAGGGAAAGAAAAATAGACTGTCATCAGACTTCTCTACAGTAGCATTTTATGCTACAAACAGTGAAATAGAATTTTCAAGATTTTCAAAAAGAAAATATGACCCAAGAACTTTCTCCTTACATTTTTCTCCTTACGTTGTGTTCAGGTATAAAGGCTGCTGACAAAAAATGAATGTGAGCTTTTCCTGAGGAATCCACTAGTGGTTCTCAAACTTTTTGGCCTCAGAACTCCTTTACATTTTGAAAATTATTGGAATGCCTGGGTGGCTCAGTCGGGTAAGCGTCCAGCTTGGGCTCAGGTCATGATCTTATGATTCATGAGTTCGAGCCCCCTATCGGGTTGTCTGCTGTCGGCACAGAGCCTGCTTCAGATCCTCTGTTCCCCTCTCTCTGCCCCTCTGCTGCTCACACGCTCTCTCCCTCTCTTTCAAAAATAAACATTAAAAAAAATATTGAAGGCCCTCTTGCCAAAAAACTTTTATTTATGTGGATTGTATCTATCAATATTTACAGTATTAGCATTTAAAACCAAGAAATTTAAAAATATTTATTAGTTCATTTGAAAACAATAAGTCAATTAAATATTAATATAAATTATGAAAAATTAATATATCTTCCAAAATAAAAACAATTTAGTGAGAAGATTGGTGGTGTTTTAGTTTTATAATCTCTTACTATCCGAATTTACACAAAGCAGAATTGGCACAAGAACTTAGCTTCTACATTCACGCTGTTGCAGTATATGCTGTTTTGGTTGAAGTGTGTGAAGAAGATCTGAAACTCTCCCAAATATGTAGTTGGAAAAGGCAGTACCATTTTAATAGCCTATTCAGATAATTGTGAATATTTGTCTTTCCTATTCCACCAAAATGCAAGAAGTGGGAGCTTGTTAAAAGCTAGTTGCAATGTGCAGTCTAACACCATGCAATGAACATGTAACATCCTACATTTGGACCAAACTGGTCATTTGGAAAATACTGGTTCACTGAGTTATGCAGATTGACATACAATATTAAGTATTGACACATTTTATTATGTAAGACTTAAAAATAACTTAAATTTTTTTTAGCGTTTATTCATTTTTTTGAGAGAGACAGAACATGAGTGGGGGAGGAGCAGAGAGAGCAAGGGAGACACAGAGTCTGAAGCAGACTCCTGGCTCTGAGCTGTCAGCACAGAGCTCGACGTGGGGCTCAAACCCAAGAACCATGAGATCATGACCTAAGCCAAAGTCGAAAGCTTACCCGACTGAGCCACCCAAGTGCCCCCCAAATCACTTTGTAATATATCACTACTTATTTCGTCAGAAAAGTCTTTGAATACTGGGATGCTCTCAGGCTTACAGTTGCAGATACAAGTTTTCCAAAATTCTAGTATTTGTCTGAAAGCTTGAATTTTATTATTGTCAACAAATACTGTCACTGTTTTCCTTGAAGTGAGAAGTTCATTTGGTTTATTTTTGAGAAAATTTCTACCAAATACCCAAGTTGGAATAACCATAGTTTGTTAGTTGTTCTTTCAAGTAAAAATGATGTTCCATAAAATAAGTTAGTTCAGCTCACAACTCAAACCATCACATAAATGTTTTTTCTAAATATCGTCTTAATTCTACTTAAATATTCTGGA